CACCAACTAAGTGCCTGACCTCTTAATATTATCACATTGATGATTAAGTTTCAGTGCATGAATTTGAAAGGGGCACATTCAGACCATAGCAGCTATCATATTAAAACTTCATATACTTTTCTAGAAATTTCATTAGCTTGAGGCAGGGTTCGGAAGAGGGAAACCTGTGCTCTTGGCAGCTACGGTGACATGGCAAAGAATGGCACATCAGAGCCAGTGTTCCTGAGTTCAGATCATGGCCTGTCACTTGGTACCCATGTGCTCTGGACAAGTGATCTGACCTCTCTTTGATCCATGTGCCCCATCAGTAAAATAGGGGTAGAATATAAAAGGAATTGCCTCAGTAGGGTTGTTAGAAAGATTCAGCAGTTAAGGCATGTAAGGTATTTAGAACACTTGTCTGGCACTCAATAAATGTTGTTATTTTCACTTTAAATTATAGGCTTAATCTCTACTGAGGTCAATAATTCATTTGATAACTCCAATCTTCTGCATTCCACCTGAAGGCGCCTATCTTATGTGACTTCTTTTTATCACATATATACCAATTCTGGTTAGGAATACTGCATAACTGCTTTGTATACTTTGTAAATATTACAGTTAATTCTAACATATCTTTTTTTTTTTTTTTTTCTGAGACAGAGTCTCGCTCTGTCGCCCAGGCTGGAGCGCAGTGTCCGGATCTCAGCTCACTGCAAGCTCTGCCTCCTGGGTTTACGCCATTCTCCTGCCTCAGCCTCCCAAGTAGCTGGGACTACAGGCGCCCGCCACCTCGCCCGGCTCGTTTTTTGTATTTTTTAGTAGAGACAGGGTTTCACCGTGTTAGCCAGGATGGTCTCAATCTCCTGACCTCGTGATCTACCCGTCTCAGCCTCCCAAAGTGCTGGGATTACAGGCTTGAGCCACCACACCCGGCCAATTCTAATATATCTTATATTTGAGGTATTAACTGGTAATTGGGAGCATTAAGTTGTATTAAGTTTCATTAACCTATTTTATGGTTTCATTAAAGTGGATTTTAGTTTAGTTTAGTACAAATAAGTATAAAAGTAAATATTACCCAAATTTTAGGCTATCTTCTAGTATATTATACCTACAGGTTGAAGATAGAAAAAATGAAATTCAAACTTATTTACTAAATATCTGTTTACACCCTACAGCAATCTGCTTTCTTTATGCTCTTACCAAAATAATGCTGTGTCAAGAGAACTCAGAGATTTCTTCACTCTGTCTATGATTGGCCCTGTAGGATTAACTCCTAATTAGGTTAAGTTTAACTATTAATTTGGTTCTCCAATTTGGGTGACCAGTTTTTCTTTATACTCCCTGGATTTTATAAAATTATTATTGTTGTTATTATTTTTGAGACAGAGTCTCGCTGTGTCGCCAGGCTGGAGTGCAGTGGCACGATCTCGGTTAAATGCAACCTCTGCCTCCCGGGTTCAAGCAATTCTCTGCCTCAGCCTCCTGAGCAGTTGGGGACAGGCACCCACCACCATGCCTGGCTAAATTTTTAGTAGAAACGGGGTTTCACCACCTTGGCCAGGCTGATCTTGAGCTCACGACCTCGTGATCTACCCGCCTCGGCCTCCCAAAGTGCTGGGATTACAGGCATGAGCCACTACGCCCGGCCTATAAAATTATTTAAAGCAGTTTACCACTAAATTCATAACTACAATAAGGCTAATAAAAATGTTTAAAAGTGAGAAATAGATTAAAAAAACACAAAGGTTAGTGTTTTATACTTAAGCATAGCCCCAGAGCTTCTTAACAGTCAAGGCAGAAATAAAAATGTGTAATTCTACTGCCTGATTCATATCATGATAGAAATAATTTTTGAGGTGATAAATTCAAAGAGATATTTATCTCATGTTTCTTTACCCTAAGAATATAGATCTACATAATGAGTTATGTTGTCAATGATATTTTTGGAGGATGCAGAACACTATTAATGATAATTGCTTATGTTTATTACGTATTCACTCTGTATCAATATAAACTTAATATAAATTTTACAAACATCATGAATTTAATACTAAAACTTTCAGCAGAGCTGACTAGAATACTGATTTTCTAATACCTAATTCAGTAATTTTTCCATTTTTCACCATACTATCCTGTAACTACTATTTATGAAAGAGAATTTGACATTGTAATCACACACAAACACACACACACACGTAAATCTTTCACACTGCACCCAACACATATGCATGTACACACACCTTTGCCAGGACAACAATACTACTAAAACAGGAAATGAGTCCTTTTAGTAAAGAAAAATGATCCCATTAATTAAGTTATTAAATACACAGCTTCTAGCAAACTGATCATTTACTATATTTTGGGTTGGTTATCCTTGCACATTTCTCATGGTCCATTATGTCATAACTGTTCTAAGTTACATGATCTCTCTTCTAATCGCTGTACATCAGTTAATGCATATAGTACAAAAAATAAAACTGAGCTTACAAGGAAATCAAATCTGAGATTTCAACTTAATACCAACCATTAAAAGTCTGTATCAATACACCAAAAAATAGAATTTATTCCTATTCTCCTTTTATGTTAGCTCTAAATGTTAATAATAATTCTCTTAGGTACAGCAAAATAAAATGTATCTGCTGGATTAAGAACAAAAACAAAAACTCAGGGTTATAGTAATATTACCAGCTCTCACCCCATCAAAAAGAACATTAACAAATACATTGTTGGCACACATGAAACACAAGACCTTTTATTTTCTTTTAGTTACCTGACAAATCTAAAGAAACACATTCATAGGCTAAAGTGCCTCAAGCTGTTTTAGATCAAAAATACCTAAATGTGGATATAACAAGTTATTCTCTTACTGCAAATCTACTATCGAAAATGCATAAAAATTGAAGGGTCACAACCAATTGATTTTTTCAGGAGATCATGGTGCTTATAGCAATGTCCCAATTGTGAGCCTTCCTCAACTCTGACAGGCCAAAAAATCTAAATTAGTGGTTCTTAAAATGTGGTTTCCAGAGCAGCAGCCCCCACATCACCTGGGAACTTGTTAGAGATGCAAATTATTGGGTCCTACCTTGATCTACTGAATCAGAATCTCTGGGAGAGGGCCCCATGTTCATGGGCTGATGAGTTCTCCAGGTGATTCAGATGTTCCTTCAAGTTTGAGAACTGATCTGAATGAAAGGCTCTTCAATTTGTTTTTCTTTTGCTGCCTCCATTCACTCCTAACTTGTAACTTCATGCTTAATTAACTTCTGCCACTCATCATAAATCTACTCATTGGAACTGCCCTCAAGCGCGGCTGTGTAAGTGAGGATGCTCCATCAATCATCACCACCTTGACTCACCCAGAAAAGCATCTGTGGATTCCCTGCCCCATCCTCAACCTTGGCTGTTCTTGGCTCAGCTGCAGCTGCTACACAACGGAGATTGCAGCTTTCAGAGGATCCATCCAACTAGCCATCAAGACTGCTCTACTCATTGGTCACATTCTTCTCCATAAACCACCTGCATGCATGTGCGCATGGTCCTCATGTTGCCTATGCCATGCCCTCTCTGCCAACTTGCACGTGACCCTGTTGCTCATGGCTGCTGAGGTTGCTCCCTGCAAATGTTTGGTGACTTGCTTAATCCAGAATGGTGGGCTTTGGCTCCACATGACCCTCTGTCCACTTCTGCAGTGGATGCTGGATTGTGCCACTGCACTCCAGATTGGGCAACAGAGTGACACCCTGTCTCAGAAAGAAGGAGCCAAAGAGTAGCTAGGGTTTTAATAGTTGTTCATGTCGGAGGGAAATGAGGAGGCCCTGGTATCCTGAAAACTGTTTCATGTTCTTCTTAGTACTCAACACTAACTTCCACTTGACTGGATCCTTTCTCTGTCTTCACAAGTCATATTGCTATATTTGGGCATATCCAAAGATAATGAGATAAGTAAACCAGAAACCTTGCTGTCAGTATTCATTAGTTCATTGTAATATGAACATGTGTAAATGTAAATTATCTAGAAAATGCCAATAAATTCCGGACAACTTATATCTTATAAAAGTGAAACCCTACTTGCAATATGTCACTTATTTCAAATGTGGATTACTTCTCTTATAGTTTACAATATTGAAGAATATTTTCATCCTACATATTTCTATCACTAAAATGCTCAACTAGTGAGCCCATTTGGTTGTGGACCTGTCAATCACCACTGCACTGGTGTAGGAGTTAGAGGACGTCTGCATCTCTTCTACAGTCTTCATATCAAAATACAGAGTGAATGATTGAATATAGTTTCCAAAAATGCTCTTACAGGGGTCTGATGGATGAAGCTACCTTTGGCTATCTCTGTTTCCAACATCATCCACTAAAGGATGACTCTGCCAGTCTGAAAATGATATGGCAGGTGATGCTGCCTTGGAAAATCTAACAAGGAATAGTGAGTTCGGTGGATGCTCAACACTGACAGACCGAGAGAGCCTCCCTGACCTAATTCATTCCAGCCGTAATTTGCTGCCTTCTCTATAACCAGAAAAATAGTTTGGGGATCTGCAACACCAGACTCGAAGACTTCTCAGGACACTCGCCTAGGCTGTCATTCCCTGTGAGCAGTGTCCTGAGCCAACACCACTGTCAGCTGGAACTGGGGCTGATACAGAGCATTAGAGCCAACCGTTCTTCTCCACATTGTATTAAACCAGGTAATGCAGGGAGGAAGTGCTAAGGTTACTGTATTTTTAAAACACCTTTGCAGAAATAGTAAGGCCAATTCCCAAGTCCACAATACATACAAAACTTAATTCTCAAGAAACAATAAAAGAGAGAAAAGCTCATCTCAGAACAAGCCAGCTATCGTTTCACGAAAAAATACGGAAAAGTTGCTAGCTCAGTATTAGTTGTTTTGTGCTTAATACAGCTCCTCTGATTAAATCAAAAGTGTTACTCCTCTCTGCTATGGAGAGAACTTTCTTATTTCTCCCTCTCACAAATCTCTCATAGGGAATTTGTTTGTTTACCTCTTTCAGATCCTGCACGACGGCGGTGAGCCTCTCATTTTCTGCCTGTACATTAGTGACCACAGCCCGGCTCTGTTTCAGCTCATTCTGCATCTCCAGGATCTTCCCCAGATAATAAGCCTCCTTTGATGCTGACTCCTGCAGAAGCGTTTCCTCCCGAGTCTCACCATCTTCAGCAACCTTCCGGTGGATGGAGAAGGACTGCCCAAATGCCTGCAGAGTATGTGGGAAGAAACAGAGTGCACAATGAAATGCATCCTAGCCCTCTTTTCAGACTTGGGAAAATGTTTTCTTCTGCTTATATGTGTAAGAAAAGCTACTGTGCAAGACCCCCGAAATACAACAGTCTAGCAGCTCTCATTGATGCTTGAAATAATTCAATTCACTTAACAAGGAAAAAGAAAATTTTAAAATGCCTTGCGAAAAAAGATGTAATACAGTAAAGAAAACTTGAAAAAAGTTGCTTGCTTTATGTTCTCATTTTTTCCAACAACTCTTATCAAGAAATAGTTCAGTGCTAAGAAGCCCATCAAAATTCATGTCATCTTCATTTTTTAAAAAATTCCACAAATATTTTATAAAAAAGAAAACAATCATTTAGTGTGCTTTCTAATATACTGGCAGTAAGGACAGTCCAATTATAAACAGTATCCTTAAGAGTTAAAATTACCAAACAGCATTTAAATTGCCCAGTACCACAAAAAAAGACACTGAATATCATCTCTGTATAAGAAAACATATGTGTCTGTTTATTCGTGCAAAAAGAAATACAGGAGAAAAAAAGTAGAAACTAAACTGGTGACTTATGGGGTGGGTGGGAAGGGTGGGAAGAAAGGGAGAGTAAGATGTGACAGAAGGGATAAGGTGGGATGACACTTTTCTGAATTGCCTTTTCACATAGTTCTTCTTTCTTTTTGAGATGGAGTCTAGCTTGTCACCCAGGATAGAGTGCAGTGGTGTGATCTTGGCTCACTGCAACCTCCGCCTCCTGGGTTCGAGCAATTCTCCTACTTCAGCCTCCCATGTAGCTGGGATTACAGGCGCCCACCACCACGCCCAGCTAATTTTTGTCCTTGTAGTAGAGAAGGGATTTCACCATGTTGGCCAGGCTGGTCTCAAACTCCTGACCTCAAGTGATCCAACCGCCTCAGTCTCCCAAAGTGCTGGGATTACAGGCGTGAGCCACCGTGCCCGGCCCCTTTTCACAGAGTTCAGACTCTAAGAACTATAGTCATGTTTCACATCCCCCAAATAAATAATAATTAAAACCAACCTGTCGGTATTGAGGGAACCCAAAATGAAACACAAACAGTAACAAAAGAACCTAGCTGTATTACAAATGAAAAACAACAGCCACCATGAAAGAGGTAAGAAAGAAAATATCTAACCTAATTTTGGAAATCAGTACTTTTATTATATACCTTAAGACTAGACAAAAAGGACTGTACCCAAACACTATATAGTCTTGCTGGTAAACTTGTTTCTCATAGAGATGATGGAAATCACAGTTCTGAAACTTCTTTACATATATACTAGGGTTGAGCAAATAAGTAAATACATTGCAGATAATGAATGCCAGGTTTCTAATTGTTGGAGAAAAACCCACGAGTAAGGAAAAAGGGATATCTAAAAGGAAACTAGTGGTATTGAGTTGTAAGTGGAAGTATCAATAAGTGGATAAACTTATTGTTTTTAATAGGTAGATAAATATTCATCGGTATACAGATATGGAGAGAGAGGGAGAGAGAAACATGTTCGTGTATGTGTATATACAGACACATTATTTCCTAGCACTGTAAGGAGAGGGCCTAGAAGCAATGATATACCAGTAGCAATGAGCATATCCAGCACCCAGATTTTGTTTCTAAATACCAATCTCCAGTACAAAGAACTAGGGTCTTTGGAGAAGTTACTGATTCTAGGACGGACACATCTTGTGATGGCAGAGTTACAAAATGCATTTAAAAGATGGCGGGGATGTGTCAAAAGGAGACAGGATCCTGTCTGAAGGGGCTTCCAACGGCCAAATCTGAGATATTTTGAGAAAAAAATTATAGCAATTAATTACATCTCCACATTAACACAATAAATGAATAAATGGCAGAAGAAAGAACAGCTCTTCCTTACAGTAGAATTCTAATAAAATAGAAGGAATGATGGAAATAAAACGTATCAGCATTTAGCAAACATTAATAATCGTTACAGGTAAGAATCATCAATAGAATCTAAAATTAATGGGCAAAAGTATGATGAGAAACAGGATGTTTGCAGAGTCTTAAAGCGTCTCCCCCCAAGGTACTTATTAATTCTAATGGGAAAAATAGTAACTTTGCAGTGGAGAAACCTGGTAGACACCACCTTATCTAAGTGACCAAAACTTAGATCAATAGCAATGAGACATACTGACATCATATACCCTCTGATATAATACTTTGGGGGCCGGGGGCAGTGGCTTGCGTCTGTAATCCTGCTCTTTGGGAGACAGAGGTGGGAGACAGATCATCTGAGGTCAGGAGTTCGAGACCAGCCTGGCCAACATGGCAAAACCCTGTCTCTACTAAAAATACAAAAATTATCCAGGTGTGGGGGTGTGTGCCTTTGGTCCCAGGTACACAGGAGGCTGAGGCAGGAGAATCACTTGAACCCAGGAGACGGAGGTTGCAGTGAGCCAAGATTGTGCCACTGCACTCTAGCAAGGCAACAGAGGGAGACTCCTTCTCAAAAAAAAACAAAAAACAAAAAACCATTGGGAAGGGCACAACATAACTTCAATGGTAATTCTTATCCTAAGAAAACATCAGACAAACCCAAACTGGGGATGTTGTACAAGATCACTGGTCAGGACTCTTCAAAAGCAGTAAGTTGCAAAAATTATAGAAAGACTCCTCCAGACCAGATGAGACTAACAAGACGTCACAATTAAGTGTTGTATGGGATTCTGGATTGGATCCTGGGCTTTAAAAAGGACACTAGTAGGACAATCGGCAAACTGAAATAAGTTATTTAGGTTAGTTAGTGATGCTATTGTACCAACATCAATTTCTGTTTCCTTCACTGTACTACGGTTATGTAAGATGGTAACATTTGGGGAAGTTGCATCAAGGGTACATGAAAATCAGTGTACTATTTTGGGGCAACTTTTTTCTAAGTCTAAAGTTATTTCTAACAAAAAGTTAAAAAATAAATAAATGTAGTCTCTGCCTTAAAAGAGTTGATAGATTTGGTGAAATACTGGCACACAGAGTTATGAAAGAAGACAAGGACACAAGCACCAAGGAGATACTATATTCAATGAGAAGTACTGTGACTTTCTGGCATGACTTGTGATTTTATTACATTTTGAAATTGAAAATGTCATAGTAGGCTGGACCCGGTGGCTAATGCCTGTAATTCTAGCACTTTGGGAGGCCAAGGTGGCAGATCACTTGAAGTCAGGCATTCGAGACCAGCCTGGCCAACATGGCAAAACTCCGTCTCTGTTAAAATACAAAAATTAGCTGGGCGTGTTTGTGCATGCCTGTAATCCCAGCTACTTGGGTGGCTGAGGCAGGAGAATCACTTGAACCTGGGAAATGGAGGTTGCAGTGAGCCGAGATCATGCCACTGCACTCCAGCCTGGGCAACATAGCAAGACTCTGTCTCAAAAATAAAATAAAATAAAATAAAATAAAATAAAATAAAATATCGCAGCATATTGCTTCCGGACTATGCTATCATCTATGAAAAGATTAGGCTGGAATGAACCTGCGAAACTTAGTTTCACATTTGTTATAAACCTTAAGGCGGAAAAGATATGTGTTAATCAATGTAAGAAACAACTTATAAAAACAATCTGGTACTCCTCCCTAAATTACACTCACAGAAACAGAAATTAAAAAAAAAAATAAAATAAAATAAAAAGCACTTAAAACCCATGTCTGAGTTAAACTACCTTAGAATCTTGACATGGATCAAAATCAAAAGATAGTCCCTAAGCATCAATGAGACAGAAATATTCCAGTATCGACGTCCATCTGTACATACAGAGTAAAATAAAATATTGCTGGTGTCTGGCTTGTTCAGTCTCTCAACAGAAATTCTTATTTGAGTAGTCAGATTTCCAGATGTGGTGATGAGCACAGGTACTCATGAATAGATGAGAAATTATCCTTGCAGATGATGTTGACTTTGCGCTTGCATCAGTAATGATCAGATTCTGAGGTCAATTCTGAATTCAGTACCCATTAAAAGGCCTCTGGAGGGGAAGCGTCTGATAGCCTCTCTCCCTCTCCCTCTGCTGAGTCTTCAACACATCACCACCCTGCAAAGGATTCCTCACTATCTAGTCAAGTATTAGTACAATTTAAAATTAGCATGAACTGTGTGTCAAGAACCCCAGCTGGCTTTTTTTTTTTTTCCACAACTGTTTCCCCATTTCGACGTACAGGAAACTGGAAATGTCTGTCACAAGGTCATTTTCTTCACTCTGCCAGAGTAAAAGCAATAATGTGGCCATTCTGTGGCTCTCGCATTTTTCGCAGCACACAGGCAATGCTCTCTTGCCAGCTAAAACCACCCCTAAAGTCTTAAGAGCAAGTGACTTTATTATTCCACCCATGATTTAAAGTTTTCAAAAAGTGTACTCTGGATCTAGCACCAAAGGAGATAAACATTTCAGATACAGACCCAGAATAGATTTTCAAAAAAGTCAAGAATTGAAATTGCAAATATCCAAATGTTGATAAATCCTCCATTCTTATTTATTCCAGTTCAGAAACCTTAACTGAACATATGGATTTCCAAAATTAGCCATGATATTTATGAAGAACTTGGCCCTTCACTGGACCTGATTTGAAAAACAATGAAAGTATATGAGGTTATCCAAGGACACTAACCATGTTTTTTACTTGAAATAGCAAAATAACACCAATTCTGCACAAGCTAGAGGTGCCTCATGATCCGCATTTGCAAATCCACTGAGAACTAAGAACACTACTCAGAAAATGGCCGCTTTTAAGAAAGGGAGGGGGAAGGAGAAAACACTCCTATTTTAATCTAATTCCTAACTGTCAGCAACTAGAATTGGGCATGACACCCAACTGACATCTATCATCTGGCTACTTGTTAAAGTTGATTTACCAGACTTGTCTGGCTCCACCAGGTACCTCCTTCCTCCATCACCTCCTGAGTATCTCCTGACAAAGCCAGGCCTGATAGAAGGGAAACAATGTTTT